AATGACACAGGCCACCAAGAAAGTATAAACACCGCAAGACAAAAGCTCCATAAAGAAGACACCAACTTCATAGAGGAGACTCGGAATCAGACTCAGTTGGAATAACACTACGAACAACAAATAAATACAAAAACAACACACCTAATAAACAAATAGAATAACACCTTCCCTAAATCTTGCAAGCTAATTATACTGCCACCTTAGACCGGAACACAAATTTTCTTTTTCTTTTGTTTCTAGCTTTGGTTACTTCTGCTTGTTGTATGAACTTATAGACCTGTGATTTCCTAGCTCATTCTGGGTTGATTATATATAGGTTAGAGGTCATGCCTTAACCCTATATATAGGTTAGGGGTCATGCCTTAACCCTCTACCCCTTCTGGGGTGTTTACTTAAAAATAAAATAAAATTAATAAAAAAAAAGTCAAATCCCACAGCCCCAAATCCCAGCGAGTTGCGAACCGAAACTCCAGATCCAATGATTGCGACTGCGACCAAACTGGAGACGCCTAGACACGCCTAGACATATCTTATAAGGAGACGATTCTCAGTGCAGATCTTAGGTCCAAAGATCTTCAACACCGAAGGAGAGAAGCAGGCTTGAAAACCAATGTCGGCGAGTCAACACCGTCGCCGCCAAGCTGAGCAAGGCCTTTCGGGAGTCTCCAACCAAAAACAACAAACCAGAGGCCAAAGGGACGCCTCCCGACCGGCCAAGACTGGAGGCAGAACTGTGGCCTAACAGCCCCAAATTGGAGAGAAGGCGGCACGGTGAGCACCACAACTACACCATCCCCACAGAAGGGCTGAAATTGGGGCGGAATAGAAGCCTCTGGACAGTGAGACCTCGCCATGGCCGGAGAAAGGTTGCAGCGGACCGCAGGAGAAGGGGGAGCGGCGTAAAATTGATTAGGATTTGTCTTTTAGGCCGAGAGGACTTTGGGCGCCTGCAGGAGAAAAGACTTACACAACTACAAATTCATGGATACCACGAGCTGGCAAATAATCCCTAAATAATCAAAAGCAAAATAAGTGTTTGTGTTTTTTTCCTATCCCAAATATAAGAATCACGTTCTCTAGTGTTCGGAAGCATCTCTGGTCAGCTACTATGCTTCAAGCATTTGTTAAATAGCTATAACAAACATCTGTCTAAATTTATGATGGTGTTGAAAATACTCTCCAAAATCTTACAAGAAGCTTTGTAATCAACCAAGATCAG